TCCTGGATGAACTTCGTTTTTAACTTGGTTTGTTTATTTAAGTGTTCCAAGCGTGGCTCGAACGCAAGAGCTATTCTGTCATAGGATGCCACTTTATTCCTTACTAGAAGTAGCTATTCTAATTTTTTGTTTTGACCTTCTGTTATACTATTGATAATAGCAAACTCTTTTTATAAATAGAGTCGCCTTAAATTCACTTAGTAATAACGGTTTAGTCTGTTAACAATAACTAAATTTTATCATAGATTTGGAGATTACAATGGTATGGTCAGTTTGATTGCAGTCTCCTTCAGCTTAATAGTATTGGTTTGGCTTCCTCTGTTGATTTCTCCGTTTTTATGTCTTTCCTATGCGACCGGAACACTTATCAAATACTAAGAAAGGATCCAACAATAAAGATCAACAGAATATGTATGGAAGTGATAACTAAAAAAATAACAGCGAAGAAATCGACAGATGGATGATGAATTCGTTGATAAAAAATGAGGCAAGACCTCGACCGCCTACGGACTATCGAAGATACACAAGGAAGGAAAATCACTAAGTTTAATAGTCAGCAACAAGCATGAAGTAACACACAAACTAGTGAAATTTTTATCCTTGAAGATTAAGAAAGTATACGACAGACGCTTGAATGCTGTGAAGAATTAATATGAATTTTCTTAAAAGATTCAAAATATTGGACTGATATGGACAGAAATGCTGGTAAGTTTTGACGTAAGATCCATATACACAAACAGCTTATTCTGGTAGGCAGTCACCGCCCTGCTAGAGGTTTTGGAACTATAAGAGGATATCCTGGAAGCAGATGGGATACGGAAGGTTTCGTTGACACGACTAATAAATCTGACAGTAGCTGCTACATATTTTAGATTTAACGGCAATATCTATGATCAAATATTTGGACTACTGATGGGATCTCAATTCTCACCCTTTTTGCCAAATGTACACGTGGAAAAATTGGAGAAAGGATTCGAGAAATCACCGCTGCAACCAAGAGTGCTTATGCGATGCCTGGATGACTGCTTTGCCCTTTGCTCGCATGGTAATGAAACGTTCGATGAATTCATCGACTTTTTGAACCAACTTGATAAGCCAATTAAATTTACGATGGAGGTTGAGGAGGATAAACGACTACCCTTCCTGGATGTTAAGGTCAGTTATACCAGCAGAATACTCAGGAGGAGACTATTCAAAAAGAACTATAATGAACAAGAGACTTGAAGATGGCAGGATTAGCAAAAACTTTGCATAATGCGTAAGCAGACTCGGAGATCAGGAAACAGCAATATCAGAAAAAGAAGATGATTTGACAAAGTTAATATTTTTAATTTTAGGCAAAGAAAATACAAGGAGACAATAGTGGAACTATCGGAAGATAAGAGGGGGCGTTCACAGTTAGCCTAAACAATTCAAGTATAACTATCACATTTGGGGGTCTTCACGCAATATACTTTGACATACGAAAGTCATAGACTTGAGATTAGGAATAGAAAAGCGAGAGATACGGTGGAGACCATTGCTAGCTAGCTATTAGTAGATAAGTTTGATTATGAACTTGGTTTATGAAGGTAAGGTCTGACTATGAGATTTACTTGATGCACATGCCACACTGTAATAAGGGAATCGGCAGCGTCAAGTTAGGTTGGTATGTCAAATGATAATACAGATTTTAGGGGTTTGCTCAATGGGGCTGGGGTATACGTTCTATCAAAGGCTTGAAACAGAGTGTAGAACATAACGCCTTGAGCAGTACGGGTATGGTGGCAGCGATATAGTGAAGTCACTGAAACAGACAGGTAGGGGGAAGATCATGTGGAGCAAGAGGGAGATTCAGATAAGACTCGAATAGAGAAGGTAGCGAATTAAACCGCAGCCTTGGATCAACACTCCCGACACAGTGGGATGGATGTGGTAACCAGCGGTGAGTGTAAATAGGTGTCATAGATTTAGATAAATAAGTAAGAAATAGTGATATTTAAAGGGTGATACAAGAGCATAGGATAGGTAAATAGTCCAGGGCAGAAGGAGAAATACTACAACTGCTTAGCAAATAATTTGCCAAAAGCTCGACTTCACTTGTCTCTTTGACGAATTTTGGTGTGGTGCTAGGAATGGCTAGGCTTGTTGACGATGCCGGCGAAATGATTGGACACGTACCAAGTTTACTGTTCACTGTTTTAGGTATTCTTGCCAATATGCCTAAATTGCGTAAGGAAGGTCAAATAAAATGATTGGGGATACTCCCAATTTATGTTATGCCACTCAAATAAAGATGATTTTTTTCAATATAAAAAAACATTTATTAATTCTCTAACTTTCTCAATATAGATTTGAGCAAAATAAGCCTTTCCTGAACTATTTCTTTGGTGTGTATTGTGCATCCCGACAACTAAAGCCTATTTGTGTAGTGGTTAGATCTTTTGCCTTACGTCTTTTGGGCTGGTATTAGCTGTCCTCGTTGTAAATGAAGCTGGCCAAGAAGGGAGGATGTCTCGTGCACTGCATCAATCTGAACGCCGTATGAAAGCCAAACGGCTGCAGAACAACGGGATTCATCCGTCCTCTTCTGGTGAGATCGACCTACGAATCTCTTCTTCATGCACTTTCATACGAAATGAAAAGTCCCCCTAGCAATGTTATCTCAGGGATTTCATTGAAACGCAATTTATCTTCGTTCGAATTCTTGTCATTTGTTTTCTCGCTACACTATAACCAAGAAAACTATATCCCGGCAAGTTAATAGAATTATATTTTTTTAAATGTGTATTTCTAATAATGTTGTTCCTATGTGTTATTTACTCGGTAAACATTTGGTTAAAACTAGGCTCAAGGGAAGCATTAACAGGATACACGAAATAATTAGAACCAAAACTAGGCTTAAGCAATCTCTTTCTAAAATATTGAAGGATATGGATTTTCTTAAGTTAAAAGACATGGCTGATGTGCTAGGAGATGCCACTGACTCGTCGGATACATGATAAGAAGCTTCGGAACTTAAAAATTAGAGTTGGGTCGAGAAACTTTGCGCCTAAGGTAATTTGTACTAGCCATGGTTGTAGCAAACTTGGAAAGGATAAGGTATACAATTTATCTAGTACAACTCTTGAGGATAGTTTTGTACTTTTATTGAAAAGAGGATTGAATTATGCTCTTCCAAATGAGGTAAACCATTCACTGGAAATACTTGTTTAATTAATTAGCTTG